AGTATATATGTTCTAAGACCAGGTCACACAAATGCCTTAACACATGAAGTTGCACGGGTGTCAAGGCATATCGAGTCGGCGTGTTCCGACATTTCTACATATTTTTACATCATGACTATGGTTATGAACACAGCGGCAAAGCTGTTTTGACTGTTTCAAAGCAACTGGAGCAATTGATTGATATTATAAATATTAAACTTTATTTGTTAATTGCTCCAGTTGCTTTAAAATAGCCAAAACAGCATTGCCGTTATGTTCATAATTAGTCATGATGTAAAAATATGTAAAGTCGGAACACGCCGATTCGATATGCCTTGACACTCGTGCAACTTCATGTGTTAAGGCATTTGTGTGACGAGGTGTACACGCTTCTCGTTTATGTGGGGCTCGGAAGCCGGGAGCCCGGTAGGAAACATCGCATCACTGGGCTTAGCAAACCCACGGACCCGAGCTCACACACCGCGGTCATACATACAAAAATACACTAACACATTTACATATTACACATAGTAATCAATACCATACAAATCATTAGTGATCAGTGAACCATATAAATTAGGTTATTTCAAAAAACAAAAGATCGCATCATTATATTACGCCTTACAGTTGTAAAATACCGCTTTTTCTATCGCGCAAGCGCGTACCAATTCATATGTCCGTTAGGAGAGAAAAAGCCTCCCGGAGCCAACAACTATTAACTCAATTCAACTCAACTCCTAGCGACCACGCAACAGTATGCTGTCTTTTTTCGCCGCGTGCTTAGACCCGTGCAAATTGGCCAATCCTCTTTAATGAATTTCTCATTAATTATTGCGAAAATCGCAAAACAGTAGAGAACTCATCCACTCGGTTTAACCCGCTCTACCTGCATTCGAGAGGTGATTCAGCAATTACCGGACACCCTGCATAAACATATAAGTGGCTTATAAATGGAGGTACGTATGTTTTAGTATGTTCTACAACAGACGTATATGTAGCGCGACCTGTATAGTGCTACTTTAGTTCAAAAGTAGACTTATAGGTAGCTGATATAAAATTTTGTCGCATATATTTGCTCCAGTAGATACTAAAAGATGGCAAAAAAAACCACCGTTAGACGGCGCCAACTGATGGCAGCCAGAATATCGAGCAGCGCCTCGATCGTATCGATTCTGCGCGGGCGCGCTTCTGCCCCGTATTTTTAAGATTAATAACAATGTACCGGTTGATCCGTTCGAGAACCTTCTTAAGAGGTGACCTGGTAGAGAGATATAAAATCAAATTCACTCTCTAACGTCGGGTCGAACGAAATAGTCGCAAAGAGAAATCAATAGAGAGACTGTCGGAAGTTATCGAGATATAAGAACTTATAAAATTTGTCGAAGTCGTTCTTTGAAAATTACTTACAACATCTTTCTGTGAATTAAATGTTAAGTATTAAATCTAGAAGTAGTGTCGATTCATTTCTACATAAACTGTCGTTCCTGACAACCTAAT